GTTGGCTGCGTAAAGGCCTTCCCTGCTATGCGGGTTCGACTCCCGCCAAACGGCGCGAGATTTTTTACAACTGTGTCAACTAAATTATGGAATATAAATGCAAAGTAAATTATGCAGCCTACTGCTTTAATTTTGACTAAGAAAGGTCCTACATCCCTGTGTTGAGTTTTTCCTGCATACACCGGAATATTTGACCTGTCTGTTAAGGTGGTGTAAAAATGCGGAAAATACTCCATTAAACAGCTAGTTAATCAAACGCTTAAATACGCTTCCCAAATAAAAGTCAAAAGTAAAACGTGGCATTGGCTTATGTCAAAGGGCAGCAGCAAACTTTTCGGCTCGACAAAAAATGACCTTTTGAAAACATTTAACAGAAGTCTATTCATCTCTACATAGCTAACAAAAATAAAAATACATATACAACGTAGGTGTTGCTATTTGAACGATATAATTAAGGTTTTCGAATAAAAAAAAACTAAAAAATATCGCTGGAGAAAAGACTTAAAAAGTAAATAAACATATTACCAAAATTTAGCCTCTCCACACGGCGAAGTCTCAACGAGTCTTCCTATGTTGCAGATTGCGTGAAGCCGCTGTCTGTCGTAGGCAACTCCACTGCCGCTATCAAGGCTCAACTTCGAAGAGCACTGATCCTCGATGAACGAAATTCTACCAGAGTCATCACCATCTTCGATCACCTGTTCCTCATCGACATTCTGCAAATAAAGGTATTGTGGAAGCAAAATAACAACTACAATGTGCACGTTAAGGTGAACTCTTCAGACCACCCTCATATCACTTCATGAAACTGCGTGGTTCGAGATGTAAATTCTGATTCTCCGGCATAAGACCATGTTCTCACCTTTTCCTCACATTTTCCTTGAACACTCTGTTCATCAGTGGGCCAGAAGTCCTCTGGCATGTAGGTGGCGGATACTTCCATGGTCTGAAATGAAGAGAAACAATTTAGGGGATGAATTGTTTACACGTTGTAAACATTGTTACTGAAAGGTCATAAGTAGCCAAGTTGACAGGAAACTACGTGATAACGCACCTCTCCGGGTTTTAGCATTCCGCAGGGTGGCGAGAATACTAGACAACTAGCCTCCTGCGCATCCTTCGGTTGCTCAAACTGAAAAGCAACTATCTGCCCCACCCGAGTACCATCACCCTTTCGTCTTGTGGACTCTTCGTTGCGAATGTGAAACTCCATGCGAGTATAATCATGAAGTAGTGTTGGAGGAAACCGTAGACAGTAGGTCGACAGGGATACCGGTGACCTCAGGGCAATCGCTTTGCATGGTAACTGAAACAGCCTTAATTAAAAGTCAGGTAAAAGGCTGCAATATGCTATGTGTATTTATACAATCTGCCAGCAAAGAGGGTCTTGCAAGACAAACATACTGGTAGATGGTGGTGCTGGTGGAACTTACCCACCGATTTCGCTCCTACAAACCAAATTGCAGCTGCAGTCAGCGACCTCGCTGGGCGAAAAGAACGCCCGCATTTCGAGGGACTCCTTGGGAAGAATCGTACCGAATCCGTCGTTCGGCTGCACACTGAATACCTGCAGTTTGTCAAACGCAAAGATTGCTGTAGAAGTTATCTGTCCTGGAACCTGCTGTGAGCATAAACATCCAACCAGAACAAGAATATGTTCCAGAGCATAGTGCTGCCAGGCTAACGGCCAAAAATGTAAAAAACCGTGGTGAGCATCACAGTTCCCTACGGTAAATGGATAATGTTGAGAAGCTTCGCGATGGCAAGCGTTGTCATTTGAGATATTAGTTAAACGTGGGGTAAACGCATGAGGAGAAATAGAAGGAAAGCAAGGAATACACGTATTGTGCAATCCAAATAGTAATCGAATTGCCTTCAACGCAGAGGAAACTAATATTTAATGATCATTCTCCACT